ACCCGGATCTGCCGGCCGGGCCCGTCCCCGGGGAGCGGACTCGGGACCGCCGGGCCCCCGGAACTCAGAAGCTCGCGCGGCAATCAAGTTCGAGCAGCCCGCGACTCATGATTCGTGAGTCATACCCGGCGATGACAAACGGGACGGTGTTCGCCGGAGGGCCGCCCGCCAGACTCGGGCCCAGCCTATTCCATCACTGGGTCGCGCACCCGCCGGGGTGCCAGAGGCGGTCACTTCAGTTAGGCACTAACAAGGTATTGGCAGCCAGATGATTTCAACATGGGCCCGCCGAGCCTTCAACATCACGTACGGTAGGGGACTTTGAAAAGTTCCAAGCTCCGCTTTGCCTGGCAGGCTACTGCCAAGCCGGGTGCCCGACGCCAAGCCTGCGGCGGCGGCCCGACGGCCCGGCGGCCGCCGATGGCACTGATTAACTTCGAGTCTGGATGGTCTCCGTCCTACTTTCCTGCCAGTACGGTGATTGTGTCCACGTGAAACCAGCGGACCGCAGGGCAGGGCCCGGGCAGTCCGCCGACAATGACTCAATGACTGAGCCTCTTACGGTGACTCGGTAGGCCTGAGGCAAAGGCTCAATGACTCAATGACTCAATGACTCAATGACTTATGGTGACTCAGTAGGCCTGAGGCCACGGCTAGACCGTGTGACTGAATGAGCGACAGACTCAGTACTGACTCAATGACGCAATGACTCAGTAGACTCAATGACTAGGTGCAGTCCTGCGAGGAGGAGCAGCTGCAGATCTCACTCATCGCCTCGGTCCATGGTCTTCCTGGCGCAGGGGTCCACACCGGAGAGGGAGGGGCGGTGCTTGCAGCCCTCGGGTAGTCCAACGGCATGCACTTGGGGAAGTGAGGGGGTTGTAGGTGGCGTTGTCCCCAAGGATCCTGAGCTCCACGACCTTGTTCGGGTTGGTCCTGAACATGCCGGTGTAAGGGACGGGGTATGCGGGGCGGGTCCTTATCCCCGGCTTGCAGAGGTTGCTTGTGGGTGTAGCCAAGGGCCTTGCTGCTGCATGAGGTCAGGCAGCAACACGCTCTGATTCGCAGACCTCAGCGGGCACTTGGACAGGGCGTCGGCATAGTCGGATGCGCAGAACACTCCGTCTTGTTTCTGAGGATGACGGAGATGGCGTGTACGAGCACGTCCTCCTTCTGCAGGACGGAGAGCAGCGTGGATATCACCGAGCTCACCGTCTGCTCGTCCCACGCCTTCTACCGTACGGGCACAGGGGTCGGCGGCGAGGACCCCAACGCGGACAGGTTCTACGGGTTGCTGTACAAGGACAACATGACAACGTGGTACCCGGCATGGGTGGACTGCTCAAGACGGGGGGTGGCAGGTGGTGTTCTTGAGCTTGCCGTCCCGGAGGATCATGCGCCGATGGGTAGCGGTGTAGGAAATCCCTGTTGCTCCTGCTCACGTCGTACTGCTCGGTGCGCCTCACGCCCTGCAGTATGTGAGGTAGAGGTCCTGCAGCTTGCGCAGGTGGACGTAGGAGAGGTGGAGCAATTCGGGATGCCCTGGGTATCTCATGGCCTCCGCGACGATGGCCTTTGCATCCGTGAGGGCAGTGTAGACTGCTCTCGGGAAAGAGGGCGTCGGCGCTGAGGAGGAGGGTCGTGTGCGGGTAGAAGTAGCTGGCCACCCCGGGCTGGAGCTCGTAGGCGTACCAGCCCTTGAAGTAGGTGAAGAGCACGTCGTTCACCAGGGTGGCGATGGTGTCTACGCTCCTCCTCGCGTAATCGAACCTGTAGTAGTTGCACAGGCTCTGCAGGTTGACGGTGTAGAAGGGGTTCAGGTCGCAGTTGGCCTTGAGCACCTCCAGGTCGCTGGATTCGCAGAACATGTGGGCCAGGGGTGCAACCATGGGGTCCATCCGGCAGGGTATCCCGTCGTTGAGCTCGCGGTCGGTGGGGTTGAGTTGCCGTTGTTCGAGATCCGGTTGATCTTCCGGCTCTCCACCTTGTAGCCATTGACGTAGAAGTCCTGCCTTGTGCATATCTACAGCTCCGAGCACATGTGGATGGCCTGCGGGACGTGCTCGAAGTCGTCCTCCCCCGTGTGGAGAAAGGGAGGCAGAGAGGCGGGAAAGCAGCAAAGAAAAAGAGCCTTTCCTGCTCTTCCTCTCCCTGTTATGCTCGCCAACTGCCATTGCCATACTCTCCCTCTCCTTCTTGCCTCCCTCTCCCTTTCCTCCCTCTCTCCATCTCTTCCTCTTCCCCTCTCCCTCTTCCTCCAGAGAGTGAGCAGCAGAGGGAGAGAGTGGAAGAGGGAGAAGGGGAGGCAAAGGCAGAGAAAGAGCGAGAGGAAGAGGGAAACAGAGGGGAAGAGAGGAGGAGAATGGTCCGGCTACTGTCACCTAACCTGGGAGACCAGTCCGGACTTTTTTCTTTTTTTCTTTTTTTTTAT